TGTGTTTTGTTGTTAAGTAGTTTTATGCATAAGTACTTCTGTTTTAATTAAAATGTATGGTTATAACTTTAGGTTATGTATAGAAGAAATGAAATATTTAAAATATGTTAATCTAATATAAATAAAGGTATTTAGCGGCGTTTGTATCCAAAAACGCCGCTATATATTAAACATTTTGCGGCGTTTTTAGATATAAACGCCGCTAATGAGTAGTACAATAGCGGCGGCTTTTTACAAACGCCGCAATAGGTGTATTATATAGTGGCGTTTTTATAAAAAAAAACGCCGCAAAATATTTATATTTTAGTGGCGTTTGTATGAAAACGCCGCTACGTCCTTTCCTACTTTAGTGGCGTTCGTATGAAAACGCCGCTATAGCCTCGTACTTTAGTGGCGTTTTCGTAGAAACGCCGCAAAGTATTAGTAATTTAGCAGCGTTTTGCTAACAAACGCCGCAAATGATGCGTACTTTAGTGGCGTTTTGACAAAAAACGCCGCAAATGTTTTTAACATTAGTTGCGTTTTCAATTAAAAACGCCGCAATTGGTTACCCTTCAGTGGCGTTTGTATATTTAAACGCCGCAAAGTCCGTTTTAATTCTCCTCTAGCCCTAGCCCTCTTTTCCATCACTATTATCCGTTCCCTCATGTCAATTACAGAAGCCATCTCCTTCATTGCACCCAGCTTCTTTCGCCTCCAACGTCGTCGCAAGTAGTACACCATTCTTCGGTCGATAAGTAAAATCCCAAATCCAACCCATCATTTCTTAACCCTTCTTCCCTTGTTTCCCTTCGATTTCTCTCTGATTTCAGACTCGGAACAAAAATTACGAGACGAAAATGAGAAGCTTTTCGCGATACCCAGGTTAGGCTTTCTTTCTCTTAGTAGTTGATTCAACGTGAGATGCGCATTAGCATGTATTATGGACTAAACCGAGTTAACTTTTCTAATGGGGTTGTTATTGTCAGATTTACCTTGATTTTGTAGTTCTTGTTGAAGCAGAAGGAGAAATTTTAGACAACATCGATAGTCAGGTTTGTTCATATTCTCAAATCTCTTAGAATGGGTGGTTTACCAAGTATTTATTAGTATGCATATTAGGTCGAGTGGTGTGTTTTTGCTTGGCATTGTGCGTTAATGAAATCTTGTTCAGGTTTCAACTGCAGTCAGTAATGTCCAGTCAGGGACGGTTGCCCTTCAAAAAGCAAAGAATCGACATAAGAGTACACGAAAGAGGATGTGCATCGCCATTTTGATTCTCCTAATCATAGTTGCTGTTATAGTTGTTGGAGTCCTTAAACCTTGGAAGAGCAGCTAAGGTACTTACTTGCCTTCGTTCCTCTTTCTTGTTTGACCATGTAGTTATTTCGTACTTGCCTTCGTTCCTCTGTCTTGTTTGACCATGTAGTTATTTCAGAATCGCTAGTTTTGCTTGTATAAATGAATGCAAGTTCCACTTTGTGTGATTCGGTTAACCTTTGTGTGAGTCTCAATCGAACTTGAAAATGTGATCCGAGTTTACCATGAAAATCAAGAATTATTTGTTTTTGAAAATTAATTGAATAAATAATTTGAATTCAGGATGTACTAAAGGATACTGGGTGTGGTCACCCATCAAAATTCTAAAGTCTCGTATTGTAGAGGTATTTTATTTGTACTTTTTTTAATAATAATCTCATTTTAAATCTTTAAATTTCTAATATAACTTTCTAATTTGGTATCCTACGCAAAATCTGTCTTTCCATGTGAACAAAGATAAATCATTTTTTATTACTCATGTTTGTTTATTACAGATATAATGCCGAGGAGAAAAATAACTGATTTGCGGGTTGTTCGAGCTTCTGAAGACCATGAAGAAATAAATAATGAGGAATCAAATGCACCTAAGTCTTCCCAAGTTCCTGAAACTGTTGAAGAAGTAGACATTCAAGGTAATCTTCGAAACTTTATTTACTACTTTGTTCATTTTCAACACTAACATTTAATAATTTCTTATATAGCTGAAAATGCTGGAACGCGCAAGACTCGAGGACGTACAACTTTGAAGGAATTATACCAACTTCCTCCTGGGCATCGTGTCAAAGTTTCAAGAAACGATGTCGGTCAACCTATTGGCCCAGAATCACGTCTTCTAGCAGGTTACTTAGGCATAGTTGGACGTAATGCGAATATGTTACCGATCAATTATGAGTCATGGCGCGAAATGCCTAATAGTAACAAAAATCAAGCATTGGATTTTGTTAAGGTAATAATGTCATTATAATAGATACTCTATAGAAATTCAATATTAATTTATACTTACGGTGCAAACTTATTTTATGTATAGGAGATTTTTTTTTTAGAGGTCTCTGACGATTATGTGAAGCAAGCGTTAGGGAAGAGATGGAGGGACCACAAGAGCTCCTTAAAGAAGAAATACTTCAAGAATGATCTCAGCCTTGAAGAGATGTTGCAAATAGTCCCACCAGGAATGCTCAGGTACCAATGGGAAGATGCAGTCAGATTTTGGAGTTCCCAAAAAGGACAGGTATGATGTATTTTTTCGTAAATAGTTGTCACGAAATTTAAATCATCATTAAAAGTGGTTGTTTGACATTGTAGGACCGAGAGCATGTTGGTGTTGCTAGCAGGCAACAACAAAAGTTTACGCACACGGCTGGATCGAAGAGCTTTGCTTGTATAGCTCATGAGGAGGTATTATAGATTATTGAAATTATTTTATTTATTCCATGTACATACTACCTCATAGTAATTACATTATGATACATTGTAGGAAAATACATCCGGTTCTAAAGTTGGTCGAATCCAACTCTTCGACATGACACATACGAAGAAGGATGGCACTCCTATGACTGCTGACGCTGCAGAAATTATGGTACGTTTATTGGGTAGATGTTTTAAATTTACCTTACTTTATTTATATTTGTACCATGACATTTTTTATTTTAATTAATTATTCACTTTATTATTAGGAAAAATTGAGGGAGAAAAGGGCGGAGTATCATATTACTACTTCGAGTCAAGGTATTGCTAATGATGATTACATTGAAAACCAAGCTATTAATGACGTTTTGGGTCCTAAAAGATATGGTCGGGTGCGCTGTCAAGGATCATTCGTTACTCCCACCAAATATTTTGGATCTAGTTCATCACAGTACATGTCATCACAGTCTCGATCTTCCCAATTAGAAGTTGGTCGTTTAAAAGAAAAGTTGGCTGAGATGGATCAACAAATGGCTGACTTGAAAGCGAAAAATGAAGCAAGGGAAGCAGAGAGAGCAGCAGCGGAAGCAGCCAGAGCAGCAGCGGAAGCAAAGAGAGAAACAGTGGCAGCACAAAGAGAGGCAGCGGCAGCACAAAGAGAAGCAACATATCAGCAGAGATGTGAAGAATTTGAAAAACGACTCAATGATATGATGCTGATGATACAGAAAACGCAACCTCAGAATCCACTATCGTAGACTCATTTATGTTATGAGCATTATGTTAATGTTACTGGACCGTGTTTCACTGAACTTATATTATGTTAATGAAAACTTTTATTTATTATATTGGATTTGATGTTGCTTGTTATGGATATAGATTTTGATGTTATTGTTGTTTTGTTTGTTGGATAATGGAACAGGTTGAAAAAACAGATTTGGGGCATTCAGCATAATTTTTAGAACTGTTAAATTCTGTGTAATTTAGCGGCGTTTGTATTCTAAAACGCCGCTATATACCGATCTTTAGCGGCGTTTGTATTAAAGACGCCGCCAAATCAAACACATATTGCGGCGTTTAAGCTAAAAACGCCGCGAAACCTTAACACTTATTGCGGCGTTTGTGATAAAAACGCCACTAAACATCAACACCTACTGCGGCGTTTCTGAGAAAAACGCTGCTACAAATCGACACCTACTGTGGCGTTTGTCTTCCAAATGCCGCTAAATATCAACATCTATTGCGGCGTTTGTCTTCCAAACGCCGCGAAATATCAACATCTATTGTGGCGTTTGTCTGTCAAACGCCGCTAAATATCAACACCTATTGCGGCGTTTTTTCTTGAAAAACGCCGCAAACTTTAGCGACGCTATTTTTAGCGGCGCTTTTAGCGGCGTTTGTCAAAACGCCGCATGTGTTTTTAGCGACGCTTAAAAACGCCGCTATAAGTAAAAAAAACGCCGCAACAAGCCAGTTTTGCTGTAGTGCCCAGCCAATGATGATGCATCATTGCCCCCTGTGATATGCATGTTATTGCATCTATCATCCTATTCTTCAAGGCATACATATACAGGGATGGTAACTTGGATCGGGTTTTTATATACTTGAATTCGATCTAAAATTTAAACCATCCCACCCACATCTAACTGGGTTCAAGATTTATGAAGGTCTTACTCAACTAAAACTTCAATTTTTAAGGTCAAAACTTACACTCGACGTGAACTCGAATTTAGATTTTCAAATTAAAAAAATAATCTGTTTGGGTCGGGTCGAGCCTAAGTGAAATGTCGATCCCTATACATACATGCACCACAGTAATATGCAAACACATATGAAATACATAGACATGATGTAATCATAAGTTGCTCTCTTTGATCTATTTCTCTTTAAAGCATATGAAATAGAATTATTAACTCTTTAGACTCCATAATTATAAGTACTCCTACATGCCCTTGTGGTCCAGTATCTTAGAAGGTAGGTTTTCTGGAGGTAGCTTAAATTACTCTACATGTTGATTGCTTGTTAAGATATGACCCAACACTTCAATTGTCTCTTTCTAAGTATGTTTTATACATTAATTAAGCAAAATTCATTACATAACAAAGTGGAAAACCGACCCCTCTAAAAAGCATTTTTCCTACTAAAAATACTGCAATTTTATTATTATTATTATTATTATTATTATTTGCATTATATTGTTTCATTTTTTTGGCAATAAGAAAATTTATTGCAAACAATCAAAATTGTTATAAGGCTGGAATTATCAAAATTCATTGATGAAATGCCAAAACTTCAGTCACCTACAACTCTAATCAATTAGGCAGTACAAGAGGAAGAGGAGGAGATGAGACTAGCTACCTAACATAACTAAACCCTTTAAACAAGTTCATTCACCTAGAAAAAATCCAAGAAATTTTCATGGGAAAATAAATGATGTTGAATGATTATAGTAGCATTATTATGGGGTTTAGGGTAGGATAATTAGTCTATAAGGAAAAAGAAGAAAGGGGAAGATGGGGTAATATGATGAGAGGAGAGCAAACATCTGTCTCTTTCAGTTCCCAGGAATTACATTGTTTTGTTGTTGTTACTGGGTATTTGCCTGTTGCTGTTAAACCTTTCTCTTTCATGGCTTCTTCTTTGTGACACTTGAACAGTTTTCAAAGAGAAAAAAAGGAGGAAGCTTTTAAGATATCTTGAAGCTAAAGCTATTTAGGATTTCTTTTTTGTGCTATGGGTTTGAGTAGTAGACCTCAAAAGTCTGTCAATGGAGTTCCCACTAAATGGGTTTCTCTGTTTTGCTTTGCCAGTTTCTGCTCAGGTGTACTAGTTGTCAACAGGTTAGCTTTTTTTTTTCTTCCTTTTTCTAATTGGATTATGAAATGATCAAGTTCATAATTTGAACTGTAAAACTTTAAGAATTTATGTTCCTTTTTTATGGGTTTCAGATTATAATTTAGATGCTTTGAATATTGCTGCATTTCTCAGCCACCTTGTACCTGTTTGCTGATTTGCTGCAGAATCATAAAGAAAAATGGCTCTCTAGGGATAGATTTGGCTCTTATGTTAATAGATTTATGGTTCCAGTTCTTGAAATCAGTGTCCATTAATGTGCATTTTTGTTCTCGTCAATTGTATAGTATCTGCATTTCTTGACTCAGTATGTTGTTGCATTGACTAGGAGTGTATGTAGCATTGTTTACAGATTTTGGGATATTTTGGATCCGATTAGAACGGAGGGGGAGGCTTCTTCTGAAATGAAACATCGAATCAACGAAGTTCATCCGATGATTAATTGCAATAAGGCAAGTTTACAGTTGAATGTTGTCGTGAGCTATATTTGCTTGCCTGGTTCCTGATGGTGTTCATGTATGTTAGAACAGGATCCTTCCATTCAAGCAGGCAATGTTCTTTCCCGATTTTTGCAAACCCACGATTTAATTAAGTAAGTTTCGCTTTTATCGTTCAACAGAAGGATTAAGTATGCCCGAAATTCATGGTTCGAATTGTATTCTTTCAGGGCATTAGACAAGACAATCTCCTCATTGGAGATGCAGCTAGCTGCAGCTAGAGCTGCCAAAACAGATGGTGAGGAAGGATCTCCGATCGGCTTGAATAGACGCAGGAAAGTATTCTTTGTTATGGGAATTATTACCGCGTTAAACAGTCGAAAACGAAGGGATTCAATTCGGAAAACTTGGATGCCTCAAGGTTTGATTCAATACTCTTTTGGCATTGTACCAGGGAAGAGGTCTTAGTCTAGTATTTATACTTCAAGGTTATTGTTCTTAGGGGAGGACTTAAAGAGGTTGGAGAAAGAGAAGGGAATCGTAATTCGATTCGTCATAGGACACAGGTAAATTCGATGGAAAGCTCGAAGCATTTAACTTTGACATTGCAGTTAGCTTTCTTAAAACGGTAATGTATCGGTGGTCATCAGTTCAACCCCTGGTGGTTCTTTAGATCGTGCTATCGATGCGGAAGAAGAGCAACACAAGGACTTTTTGCACCTGGTACGCTATCACTTCTGGCCCGGACGCAATTTAGAAACTCAAATTTTCTACCTGTTAAGTGAAGGCTATGTAGGATTGAATGTTTTGTTTGGCAGAATCATATCGAAGGGTACCATGAACTGTCATTGAAAACTAGAACATACTTTTCAGCAGCAGTTGCAAAGTGGGACGCCGAGTTCTATCTTAAAGTCGACGACGATGTACATGTAAATCTAGGTTAGTATTGCCAAATTAAGCTTCTCAATACTTTCATTTCTTCTTAAACTGTTCTATATCTCGGTGACTCAATGTTGAATTATTCTATAGGTATGGTGAGTTCTACACTAGCTCGTCACATATCGAAACCCCGTGTTTATATCGGTTGCATGAAGTCCAGACCTGTTCTGGCACAGAAGTAAGGAGGAACTTTCCTGAGTATCATCTGTGGTTTTCCTTTCCGGCCATAGTCACCTCTTTCTTTTTGTGTGCAGAGGTGTTAAGTACCGTGAGCCGGAATATTGGAAGTTCGGTGAGGAGGGAAACAAGTATTTTCGGCATGCGACCGGACAAATATATGCAATCTCCAAAGACTTGGCCACCTATATCTTAGTCAATCGGTACACACTTTCTCGGTAAAACATGTTTTCAATCATGATCGGATTTGTTATTTGCTTGTTTTCTGTCCAGGCACATACTCCATACGTATGCGAACGAAGACGTCTCCTTCGGTTCCTGGTTTATCGGTCTCGATGTCGAGCATATAGATGATAGAAGTCTATGCTGTGGTGCCACTCCCCCTGGTAAGACGGTAACCATTGTGCCTCACTTGTATGCAGCTCGGCGATTTTTGTGATTCGTTAGGTTTGTCCCACCCCGAGAGTGCTCGGAAACAATCTATCCATGACAATGTTTAAATTTGTAAAAACAGATTGTGAGTGGAAAGCTCAAGCGGGGAATCCGTGTGGTGCATCATTCGACTGGAGCTGCAGCGGAATTTGCAAGTCGATGGAGAGAATGGAGGAGGTTCACCGGCGTTGTGGGGAGGGCAACCAAGCCATCTGGGACACTGATTTCTGAAGGCATGTAGTGTTCCAATTACAATCAATTTAGTAAGATCTTCCTATTATAATGGTTGTCCAAATATATCACATTAACGTAATAACGAATAATTACACATAAATCGAATTACTTAATGACTTTTCAAATATATCCTTAGAATTTAATTAATAAAATGGTATAATTTAAAAGTCATCAAAGTTAATTATTCTCGTAAGTCCTCAATTCTCAACCTTGTGTATAAACTGAAAAATGTAGTTGAAGAAGAGTGTAGATAAAAAAAAGAGTTAATTGTGTCACACATTCCCAAATTATGATCCTAATTCTAAATTAATCTCTAAACTTTTGAATATTTCAATTACATCTCCAAATTATGACTTTTATTCTACATTGATCCCCTAACTTTTGGGCATTCTATTCATCCCTAAATTATGACTCCCGTTCTATATTAGTCCCCAAACTTTTGAATGTTTCAAAGACATCCCCTAAAATAATTTAAAAGTTTGGGGATTAATATAGAATGAGGGTTATAGTTTAGGTATGAATTTGGAATGTTCAGAAGTTTATAGACTAATTTAAAATGAGAGTCATAGTTTAATGGTAAAATTAAAATATTTAAAAATTTAGGCATCAATTTAAAATAAGAATCATAATTTGAACACTTGTAATACAATTAACTCTGAATATTAAAACAAAATTTTCGTTGTTGATATCATGTAAAGTCTAAATGTTTAAAACATTGGTGTATTAGAATTGGACGGTGGAAATTCCGACCATTTATTTTCTGAAATAAACCAAAGTCAGTCCCTTTAACACCATATGTGCTATGGTGGAATGTAGGGGCCATTGCCCAACTCCGTTTGAATGGGAGCATGCACACCTTCGCACGCCAAAAGCATGGTTGCTTTTTAGTGTTCCAAGTAACCCACGTTGTTAAATTCAATAACAAAAATAAACATGCAAAAATTCTCCAATAATGTCGTTTATAAACGGATTGAGTTTCATGCATTAAACGTGTGAAATCTAGAAGATTCACACGATTTTTTTATTAATATAGTTGATTATAAAATAATATATATTTAAAATACTTTTAATTATTTGATAACGAATGTTTAAATACTTTTATAGTCAGCAACGGATCGATTGAGGACTAAGGGTGGACACGTGTCAACTTTGAAATCTGAATTTTTCCGGTTAGTTAACCCACCTTGAAACTCATATTTTCTTCGATTAATTACATATTTTACTGATGGTGTCCACCCTGAAATTTTATTCGTGTTCATCCCATTAAAAAAATTTGTGTTGTTAACATATATGTGTCTACGTTCAAAAATATCTCTAGATTTATCACTGTTTATAAACATCATATTTGAACCCGAAATCTCTAGAAATAACAACTATCTTTTAATCACCGAGATGGCTTAATTCGTACAAAACCACACGATATTAGTTAGAAATTCAATAATTATTCTATGAATCATGCTTGGATGATCATGAACCCTCACCCTTCTTCAAAAACTCAAAATCCTAAACTTCACTAATTTTATAAACCTCTTGGTTTATGATTCATCCGTGTAATATTATGTGACATAGCAAAACAAGAAAAGATGACTTTCAAGTCCTAATCATAAATCAATATGCATAGAAGTGCACTCACATTAATTTTGAGTTTATCAAAAACCTATTAATTAAGTCTTCAAATACTTTAGTCTTCTACTTTTTTTTTCCTTTTAGAAAAGTTCTTTCTTCGACCTCTCTTTTGGAAGCTTCAAACAAACGTATTCAATGTTTTGTTCGTGTTTGATAACATGTTTTAGATTTTAGACTTTAAAATTTTAATTTAGGTTAATGGTACTTGAAGTTTAATTTTTGTTTCTAAAAAAAATGAATGTGATCGTCGAATTATTTTTATATTCAATGTGATCATTTCATTAATGTTTTTCATTGTTGACCATTACAATACTGATGTAACAGTTCATGATGTTAATGTGGTGGTCCACTGTAATTAATGAAATGTCAAATGAACTAAATTAATTTTTTTATTGAATTTGATGGATAAATTGACTTTTTTTAAGTTTAAAGGTTAATTTAATATTTTTTTAAAAATAAAAATATTCAAAAAATTAAATACACTAAATACTAAAAATAAAATTTAATTAGAATATTTAAACATTATATTTAGCGTATCAAGTCATAAATATTTATAAGGTTTTTCAATGATGAATAAAAGTATAAGATTTTAAGAATATTGATTATTGAATATTAGATTATAAGATTTTTCTATTATGAATATGGATTTTAAAAATATTCTTAGACATTATTATTTTAAATTTTTTTAAATGCGATTTTAACTGTTACAAGTAAAATAATTGTATCGAAAGTGGTAAAAAAATTGATAACCAATCTGATCAATGAGATCGACGAAGTAAAATCTAAATATTAAATACTTATTAAGTATAAAGATTAAGTATGAGTAATATAGTTTTTCAATTTTTAGTAATTGACTTTTTATTTAAATAATTTTATAAATCAAATAAGTCCTTGAAGTTTCAAAAAAATAATTTAATCTTGAATTCAATTAATAAATTTAATTTAGTCCATATGCTATTTCAACAGTCATCGTGGATCACTAAATCAACATAGTTGATTATTACAATAGTATCATAATAATCAATAATAAAAATCGTTAGTCAAAAGATCACATTAAATCTTTTCATGAATTTAAGAGTCCAGTTATATATAAAAATAATTCAAGTGCTACATTGACTTTTTTGGAAACATATGAGGACCTCAGATAACATTAAACCTTTGTCATATAGCAAATAATTAAATTAAAGGAAAATGGATGAGATACGAAAACCAAGGGAACGCGGCGACCACAGATTCAAGTGGGAGGAGATGTATGAGAAAAACAAATACGAAAGTTAGAAGAGAGAGAAAGAAAGGGATTGTGTTGTCAGTTGTTACCCTATAAACTTAAACACGCCAAAACCATGCAATTCTCCGTCACCCACACGGCCACACCAACTCAACGGAAAAGTCTAAGGAATTTCAGTATAAAAATATTTATTTTATTTTAACATTATCCGTAAAATGTTACCTAAAATATTAATTTCGTTATTTAAAATATTATTTTTTTAGTGTTACCTCCGAAAATGTTAAAATAAAATTAATATTTTTTATTGTATCTTTCCTTAATCTTATATTAGATAACGAAATTAACATTTTAGGTAGCGTTCTATCGAAAATGTTAAAACAAAATTAACATTTTCGATTACGCTTTTCCTTAGTCTTATATTAAACTACCGTATAGTAGAACTATAGCCAACTCAATATATTATATGTTGTACATATACCATATATAATATGTTAAAATAATACAGAGTAAATACTAATATTTAAGTGTTTTTTAAATAGAATGATCTAAATTATATCTGTAGTCGAGGGATATGTTATTATCTTTTAAAGTTTTAAGTTTGAGTATTATATATGTTAGAGATATGATCATTAATGATCAAATAATTAAGAGTTTTTGATTATATATTATCTTGTATTCACCTCAAATTTATAAAAAAAATAATATTTTAAAATATTTTTAATATAAATTATGAGTAGAAGAAAAATAAATATATATCTTTAAAATTTTATAAAAAAAGAACAAACACATTATTATAATTTAATATAGATGCCATATAAATACAAAAGAATCATCCAATCATTCAGCTCTATTGTTTAATATTTTTTAGATAGAAAAAGGATAATATTCCAGTGTACTTATCCAGTTTGGTCCATTTATTACCAAACATTTGGCAAATCCTGTCTGGATTCATTGGTAAAAGAACAAAATAAAGCATGAACTATGTAACCGTAAAAATGTAACGCCAGATTTTTTTTATGTAGACATTCTAACTTTTTTTTTAACAAAAAAAGTTAAATTATTAGGATAAAATCTATAAATTTTATGATCTATTATTTAGATATTTAAAGATTCATAAATATTAGAGTGTAATTAGGAAAAAATTATATGCAATAATAATCTACTAATTAAACCTTTAATTTAATCAATATTTTCAATAACGGTAAATACATATTTAATATGATATTTTTTTTAATTATCTAAAGTAATATCTATTCAGAATCTTTATTAATCATTGACAACACTCATTTTATAGACATATTTGTTCGAACTTAAGATCTTTATGAAAAATAACACTCTACTTGTTCACTGAGACTTAATGGGTTCATATTTGATATAATATTAAAAATTTTCTGACGATGTTTGATTTTAACAATTTTATGTGATTATAAGGTAATATCTGCTTAGAATATCTTTTAGTTATTAAGAACACACCCACACCATGTAAACGTTGTAACTTGAACTACAAATCAATAGAGAGAACAACGCTCCTTTAACCATTGAGATCATTTGATGAATATTTATAATATTTGATCAAATAGTCAATTTAACTTTTTTTTTTTTACATTTTAATCTCCAATATTTCATTTTAGAGTGAAACTCTAACGTTTAATTAATCATTTTAGCTCTTATATTTTTTTAAAGTAATTTGACCTTCAATATTTTACTTTAAGACAAAAAAATTATTTTAATCGGTTTGTTAACTAAAAATTTATTTTTATAAAATGATTTTTATTTAAAAATAAAATATTTTAAAAAGAAAGAATAATAATCATTATAGTTATTTAATTAAACATTAGATATTTTTTACGTATGTATGTGTACGTATATTTTTATATTATAAAAGGTTGCAGTGTGTATGTGAGCACGAGTCTGAGTTAGTTTATGGGCCTACGGTAATCCAGTGAACACGACGCTCCACCGCTTATCACGAAATCCTTATCTTTGATCTCTTCTCATCAGTTTGTCATCTTCTTCCTCTGCACAACAATTCCCATATCTTTTTATCTCCGTCACTCGTCCAATAATTTCCTTCCTTCTTTTAATACCCTTCATCGCCCCCTTTTTTTTCACTCTCTTTCAGATTCAATTTGGGTGGTTCCTTTTGCTCTACTCTTCAAAGGGTTCCCATCTTTCCGAACAAACCCTCGAGAAAATCTCTGCGCTGAACGCTCCACTTTTGGAGGATTCTTGATGGGTTTGGTTTCAGTTTTCTGGGAGATTTTGAGCAAACCGACGAGTGGGGATGTGTTGAGCGAGATACTGGTTTTCATAGTTCCTTTGTGGGTTGCTGTGATTGTTGGGGTTTTAGTTGGCTGGGCTTGGAAGCCGAAATGGGCGAATTTAGGCAGAGAAATCTTCATGGATTGTTCTGCTTCTAAGGATTCAACTGCTTCGTCTTCAGAGTCAGCTTCTACTGGTTTTGGTCCGCTTCCGAGCTTGAATTTGATGAAGCTTCAGCTGCCCAGTTGTTTCTCTTGGAGTTCAGATGATGTGGTTCAAAAGTTCCCTTTGTCTCGTACTCTTCATTCTAATTGCAGGTTTGCCACTTCATAATTTGCCTCCTTTTATGTATAAAGTTTAGCTTTTTTTATAGGCTAAGAACTGGTATTGTATTTGAATTTGCCAACAGCTAATGTTTTTGTAATTGTGCAGTTCTTCAGAGGGTGGGAAGGAAAATCTGGGTTTTCTGACCGATGAGGATTTAGGGTATTTGTTTAAATTATCTGAAGAAAAAGATGGAGGTCCTGCTTGGATTCATATGATGGATAAATCGACACCGACTATGTCTTATCAGGCTTGGCAAAGAGATCTTGATGTAATCTATTTTCGTCTTCTATGTTTAATTTATTAGAACCTGTAAAAATGGAAGCCATGATTGTACTATTGTTTTGGAATTCATTTGTTGTGTTGAATTATATGTTTTTATTGTTTGTTAGATTGGTCCTACGCAATACCGGAGCCGGACTGTTTTTGATGATGCCACACCTGAGATGGTTAGGGATTTCTTTTGGGATGATGAATTCCGAGCGAAATTGAAGTGGGATGAAATGCTTCTTAGTGCTGAAACTTTGGAGTCGTCTCCCACTGATGGGACTATGGTGGTCCATTGGGTTCGCAAGGTTTGTTAAAAGCTTTCTAATCGTTTCTTTTTGGTTGGTTTTCATTGTTTGTAACATTATTTTATAACCTGTTCTTTGGTTTGTAGTTTCCCTTCTTCTGTAGCGACAGAGAATACCTGATAGGTCGTCGAATTTGGGCGTCTGGGCGGACATATTACTGTGTTACAAAGGTAGACATTCTATTCCATTCCCCAGTTTTCAGCTTTAAAGGTCCCTCCTATTTTTCCCTATATTTATAGTTATGTTCTACTGAATTCATAGTTGAGAAATAACTTGGTTGCAACTGACATTTAGATAAAATATTAGTGTCGAACAATGTCACTTTTAGTTAATCTGATAATTGCTCAGCTTAATCGACTTTCATTTATGAACTCTATGGTTCATTTCATCCGAGTCTGTAATACTTCATGCCATGACTATCAATTTGGTCAATTTGTTGTCTAGTTTTTGAAGTGCATAAGCTAAATTCTTAGCATGTTTTGCCCCGTTTCAGGGAGTGCCATATCCCTCTGTTCCTAGAAAAAACAAACCTAGGCGTGTTGATTTGTACTTTTCAAGTTGGCGCATTCGTGCAGGTAATCGACCATTTTCCCGACTTTTTGTTGGAAGGCTTGAGATTTATATTTTCTGAGAACATCAGAGAAGTGGTTTTGGTACAAACCATAAAGAAAACAGAGAACGTCTAAATCTTCCTTTGGATGGATTTCCTAGGCATATCGTGTTAAGTGAATATATTCCCGTAAATAATTTGTACGTGCTATGTTTCAAACAGTTGAATCAAGGAAAGGGGACGGTCAGCTGAGTGCGTGCGAGGTGTTACTTTTTCACCACGAAAATATGGGTATACCGTGGGAAATTGCGAAGCTTGGGGTCAAGCTAGGCATGTGGGGAACGGTCAGGAGAATCGACCCTGGCTTACGTGAATATCAGAAGGAAAGAGCATCAGGAGCATCTCTATCTCATTGTGCTTCCGTGGCTCATATAAACACTGAAGTAATCACAGACTATCTGAGATCCTTGGAAAGCCACGACGACGACTCATCCGAGCTTGAAACACATAATTCATCAGAGAAGCCCTCGGGGAAGAACAACATTCCTAAACTCGTAGTTGTTGGTGGGGCCATTGCAATCGCCTGTATCCTCGATCGAGGGCTCTTGACCAAAGCAGTTATATTCGGAGTAGCCCGAAGGTTTGCAAAAATAGGAAGAAGGTTATAATCCCAAATAGTTTTGTCCATCATCCTGACACCCTATCACCAGCAAAAGCAGATTGCCATTGCAATGAAGTGAGATGGCCATGGATCAGATAGATGGGTTGTTTTTATTGGCCGTGTTTGAGGAACGATCTCATAATCGAATATCTGAGTTTCCTTTTATTTTTCAGTACCTCATCTATTGCATTATATATATATATATATATATATATATTCATTTTTCTCTCTCTCTCCTTGATTATGGTAATCAATAAAACCTTTGTAATTACATGTGCAATATTTTTGGGTCATACGGTAATCAATTCAGACTATTTTTTAAAAAAGGTTTTATTGAATTAAGTATGATTAGAAACCATTGTCTTATTAAATGAAGTAAAGTACGATTATACGTCAGATCAAGTATAGTGAAATATTATTTATGCATTTATTTATTTTAATTTATTATTTAATCATTTGAATTGAGTAGATGTATTCATTTTTTAAAGTATTTTCATGCAAAATAAAATATTTTTTATTTTTTTACTTTACATGTTTAGAGTCTATAATCATTTTTTCCATCAAAATAATATAAAATATTTTAATATATAACAATTCAAAGGAAAAATGGTGTAAATGTAAAACAGTTATATCATGACTCATATCTCTCTTTATTTTCCGGAAAAAAAATCAGTCAAAAATGTATATTTAAAGTAAGATTAATTAAGGAATTACTAAAATAAATATATTATTTAAAATAAATCTGGGATCTCTGGACTCGACGTGGCATAGAATGGAAACACAAATTATTTGAAATTTTTAAAAAAAAAGTGTGCTTAATTGAGGAATCAAGAGCAAATTATTATAAAAAAGCCAAAGGAAGTTATAATATACAGAAAGGGAGAGCCGACGGAAAACGGAGAGAAGTGGTAGGGGGATCAGGCTGAGTTTCGTCGGATTCCGTTCAGTTTCGTCTGAATTTCGGAAACTCTCTCTTTTTCTCTAAATTTTTAATCGTCGGAATAAAAAGGAATACCGGAAAAATGAAGGGATCTGGACCTCTTGTCGCTGCTTTGTTCGTTGCTTCCACAGCGGCTCTCTCGTCATCTTCCTCCGTCGGAATCCATAATGCTTCGTTTCCTCTTACCTCTTCCAATCAGGTGTTATTCATTTTCATTAAAAGAAAATCTGATTCAATGTTTATCTGAATTCCTTTTCAATCGCCGATGAGTTCAATAGTTTTCAATCTGAAAATTTTCCTGCCTCAATCTATTATTTCTAGATCTGGTTTCCTTCTCTCTCTTTTTTCCTATTATTTTCTATTAAATCAGGATCTATTAATCGTATCTTTAATTTGTTAGTTTTTCTGTTTTATCTAAGCAGTGGATTAATATTTTTTTTAAAATCAATTAATTCAATAGATTTGTTCAGAGTTTCTTAGATCTTGAGATTGTATGTCGATTATGTAGGGGACAAGGATCGGTGCGTTGAGTAGTTTAACCGTATCGGAACGGGAAAAATTTGCACCACAATTTGATGGCCTGAGATTCATAGAAACATTGATCACAGCTCACAGATAGGAAAAAAAGGGCCGTCCTTTTCTCGCCGTTTATTTTTTTTTTCATTTTTTTAGTTTTTGAAGGTTCCATTTGCAACCCAAAAACATTGGTTGAACATAATTTAATCTGTTACATTATGAATGAGATTTTGAATTACGGAGTAACGTTTTCCGGCTTGTTTAATAAGTCATGTCCTATTCCTTTTGGATACGCAAGGATAGTAATATTGATTGTGAATTTGGATCTCCATATACATGTTAGATTTATTTTTATGAATTTTGAACATTATGGATCTAGGATAGTCATTATTACATATTTATTATTTAAATTCATATTATTTATATAGATATATATTGTTTAAATACTTGAATTTAAATTTAAAATAAAAAGTATATTTACTTTTAAAAGGATTTAAATATTAATCATCAACTTTTAATGAATTTGAGCGGATATTCAACTTGATAAACGTATTTTGTATTGATCTATTCAAAGAACTGTGGTGATGGGCAGTAGAATAGAACCAATCTTTTGAGTCAGGAGAGTTCGTTCCTTTTAAATTATTTCATTTCAAAACCAATGGTGTAATGATTACTATGTTTTTTCTTTTACCCAAATTTTACATAAAAAAATCATCTATTTTTTAATTTAAGATAAATATAAAATAATATATGTTTGAAAGATTTAATTATTTAATAATAAATATTCATATATCGCGCAAAATATCATGTTTGAGCAAAAGATAAAATAGATACTATTTTATATTCATCTTAAATTAAATATATATATAGTAAACGTCTAATAGATGAATTTACTATCATTAAACTATTTTAAAAATACATAATAACATAGTAAAATACACAATATGTCATTAAAATATATTCAAATGAATTAATTAATTAAACGCATAATAGCAGACTAAAATACATAATATGTCATTAAACTATATTCAAATGATTATTTTGGTTATTAAACTTTCAAAAGTTATAAAATGGTTATTATAATTTATTGAATTTTTATAAAATAGTCACTATGATGTTATAATAAGTATAAAAGTATGATAATTTTAATACCCCTTTTGTAACAATTTGATAAAATTTAATGATTATTTTATAATAGTTTGACAAATTTAGTGAGTATTTTGTAATTATTTATTTATTTAACAACTCCTATCTAGAGAGAGGATGGAGAATTTTACTTCTAATAGATATTGAACTCACAATCTAAAAAAATAGTTAAGTGAAAACTTTTAATCACTTACTCTATAGATTTGTTGAAATTTTATGATTATTTTTAAATTACTTTTTCCATACCCAAATGTATGAAAGAGCCTTGAATTAATTATTGTTTAAACTTATGCTCTTTCAACTATTGGATTTTTTTTAAAGAAATCACTAATTTTATTTAAAATAAAAAATATCTTAAAGTCATAATTTTTAATTAAACACATAATTAGGATAATTTCCTATAATCATTGAAACAAAACTAGTAACTTAAGATCACATAAAGATCATACAAGGAAATATTAAAATCTAACCAAGAAAACTCAAACAAATATAGATACAAACATATATGATCGCATCGACAAACGAACCAGAAAAGGGTATCAAGTATTGAAAAATCACCGACAAACCACAAATCAAACTCGAGCGACGTGAAAAACTATCTACAAATGCATAACGAGTATTTAAATCCAATATGAGGGTTCAAAACAGGAAATATCAATAATATAATAGATAAGCGTAATCTTGATCAGTCATGACGATGTCTAATCAACCCTTATAAAATGATAAATGAAAACAACAACCAAAACACGTGTCATAAATATAGAGGAAAATGTGTTATACATGCAGACTCATTGAAAAAAAAAAGAAAATGAAAGGATAATAAAAAATATTGAAGATCGACAACTAGTATTAAAATTGGTGCTACAGCAGATCAACAAAGACACAAATAAAAAGAGAAATGATAAATGAAAACAACAACCAAACCACGTGTCATACAGAGAAAAACGAGTCATACAGACAGACTCATTGAAAAAAAAAGAAAATGAAAGAACAATAAAAAATACTGACGATTAATAACTAACACAAAAATTAATGCCCATTGTTTAAGATCAAATTATCTATTAAACTTAAAAGTATTTCGATAAACGTAGCAAATAATACTCCTAATAGAAACTCATCATGCTATTCATTCCATAAAAAAAAAATATACGACAAATTATGTCTACATTTTTTTAATGAAAATGAAAAGTTAAAAAAGTAGATTGAGTTGTGTCCGTAGATGGAATGGCAACAAACACAAAATATCTGCTCAGCGTAGCGAATCTCCAACCACTCACTTCTTCACATGCCATGTTTAACGCTGTTTCACAAAAATCTTCCTGAAACAAAACAAATGTGACTGAAATATATATATATATAGCCAGCATCTACTAACATTGTAAAACATATTTATCATCGTTGGTTTTGTGAAAATTAAGATTAACTCATATTGAGGCGTGAAATTTAAAATTATCATATATTTTAAATTTTTTTTATATATTTCTATTGAAATATGTTTTTACCCTTAAAATTTTATAAATTTGTACTCTCCTAAAATTTTAGAGATTCACCCCTAATAAAAAAAAATCTTAAATTCCTCCTTGTACACACATATATATTACATTTGTTTAATAATATCCGCCTCATATTTTTTAGTTCTATTTTTTTTTCAAAAAAAATTATTTTAAAAAAACATCATTCTGGTTTTAGGGTTGATAAGTAAATCTATTTACACAGTTATTTTTAAGTTTCGGTTAATATTAAACCTCGTGGAAGTTTATAATCTATTGATTGGTAAATCAACATTTTGTTAACATAGATATTTAAATTTCAACTTTTACCACCAATATTTAAAATGTAAAAAAAAAAATAATTAACAATAAATTGGTCTAGTGGGATGAGACATTAGATTCTTTAAGTAAGGTTAGGGGTTCAAATCATGACATTTGCGAATGAAGTAATCTGAGTTGGGAGGGTCATCCTCACCTCTACGATACCCAATTTAGATTAATTAATCAATAGATCAGATAACAATGATTAATTTAAAAAATAAAAAAAAATAAGAAAAAGAGAACCGAATAAACGAGTTTATTTTTAAACACAAATGAACCAGTCCCCTAGCCGCAATAACATGTGATGTTGCTTCCACCTCTAATTAAAACCTTAAAGAAAACAAATTAAATATATTTTTCCTGAATTTGATTTCAATTTTTAATTTAAAATATGAATTTTAATATATCAAATTAAATTTTGTTATATAAATTATCTCAAAATTAAATTCCGTTATAAATTTTTAGTGTTAAATTTTGTTAAAAGATCTTTCAAATTTTCAATTGGACCTCTAATAACCGCAAATTATTATGATTTTTTAGTGTATTATGATATTATTTTTGTCTCTTGACTCTTAAGAAGGTCTCAAAAATACATTAATTGATACTTGAATTTAGTTCCATAAATCAAATTAGTTAAAAATATCAAAGTAAAAAAATGATTTTTAACAATTAAAATCTTAATGAAGTTAAACTTTGGGGTAATTTGTATAACAAAATCTAAGTTTAAATACCCAATTAAACATAAAAAAGAACTAAAGTACCAAAATGAATCTTGAAGCCAAATTTGAGTACCAAAAATATATTTATGTATTTATTTCAAACACGGGAATTTTGATAAGTTAAAGACCGCTCGTTTCCTGGATATTTAACCATTCCCGTGATTATGTCGAGGCTCATAGACAATGGGAGGATATTTAACCATTCTCGTGATGCCACGTGTAATTGCAGCTCAGCCATGGATTCTCTTACAAATTGGCTGCTCCCTGGGCTAATTCATTTGACCAACTTCATAGTCCCCATTACATTTTCTGGGATTCTTTGAAGTGTAGTGGTGAGTTAAATTGTATGAGTTTTTGTTATTTTTTTATATTAAATTTAATGGTTTTGGATCTTGTGTTTGAATCATTTAGTTGATTCCTACAGCTTGAAGAGTACCCAAAGCAATGGCGACAGTGATTGCTTCTCACTTTTTTTCGATAGCTTCCCATGGAGGAGAAACCAAGGCCAGTCTGGGTCAGATTATGTTGAGGAATCAACAACAACCCATGATGTCTCACAATGGTTTGAGGTCTTTGAACTCACTAGAAAGGGTGAAGATGAGGAGCAATGCGGTGAAAGAAGCTCAACCAACTGCAAACAACAAGCTTTATGGGAAAATTGTTTGTGGAACAGGGATGACTATTGTCTTTGTGGGAGCTGAGGTTGGTCCTTGGAGCAAAACTGGTGGACTTGGTGATGTTCTTGGTGGACTTCCTCCTGCAATGGCTGTAAGTATCGGATTTATAATATTTGGTTTCATTGTCTGTTAAACGTTTGATGTTATTTCCCTTTGATTGAACATTGATTAGGCCAAAGGACATCGTGTTATGACCGTGTCTCCTCGGTACGACCAGTACAAGGATGCATGGGACACTTGTGTCTTAGTTGAGGTAAAATACGTTCAAAGTAAATTTGAAGTGAGTTATTATGTGTTTGGATTGTGTTCTTAAACATCAGTTCCTAATATGCAGCTGAAAGTTGGGGACACAACTGTGACTGTTCGATTCTTCCACTGCTACAAACGTGGAGTCGACCGTGTCTTCGTCGATCACCCTATGTTCCTCGAGAAGGTTTGACACTGTCATTTCTTTATCAAAGATTGAATTGGTTATGTTATTTCCAATAATTTTGCTTCTTTTGTATTTTTGATGATTCAGGTATGGGGCAAAACAGGATCCAAAATCTATGGTCCTAAGGCTGGTACGGACTACAAGGACAATCAATTGCGATTCAGCTTGTTGTGTCTGGTATTGACTCTTTCAAATTCTGATCATCGTATTAACACCATACTTAGCTTAATTAGTTAAAGCAGTCACCTTTGCTGTTCAAATTTCATCATTTTTAAACATCTTCGCTTAACCAAAGGCTGAGGCCTCCTTTGAAACAAACTACAGTTCATGATATCAATCTAGCTCAATTTGCATAAATTTCATCATTTTCAGGCTGCTTTGGAGGCACCAAGAGTTCTGAATTTGAATAGAAACAAATATTTCTCAGGACCGTACGGTACGGGCTCTTCTTCTTTAAGAC